GTGATGAGAGCGCAAAGAGGTTGTCTGAAGTGAGGAGATCTGAGCAGGAAGGAATATCGTTCAGAACGTATCTCTTCAAGTAGTTACTCCTATCCCTGCAAACACTATAGCTCAAGTCATCACAAGGTATTCCCAAGGAGCGGCATAAGTAAGTGCAAAAACGAGGAACGCATGTTTCACAGGGGCAGTCATGTTTATGGGATTTGAATTTTTTATAGGAGGAGACAGAGCAGACACCAAAGGCGCTCGGGATTGGGTAATCCTCTGCAGCCGGCGAAGACCAAGCCCCACTAATGCCCACTATGCTATCCCTCCAACCCTTTTCAGATTTTATTGTGTCAGTGCATATGGACATCTTCTCGAACGGGTAGAGGTGGTAGAAGGGCTCGTTAGTACGGATCTTACTGACCTTATAGCACAGAAGGAGGTCTATGAGGTCGAGATCCAGATTTCTGTCACGCATCAATAAGAGCATAACAGATATGATCCTAAAGAAGTTGGGATTGACCTGCAGAGGGGATATCCCCAATCTATTGAAGACATAACTAAAGAAAGGGTGCAGAGGGAACCTAACAACATTCAATTGAAGGTTCGTGAATAAGACTTCGCCGGGCAGGAGGCCGGCGCCGGTCGTAATATTAACGTCTTGGGGGCAAACCCTAACTTCGATGTTGTCAGGAAGTCTAAGTCTCATACAAAGAACATCTAGATCTACAACCATGGTGGAAATGCTAGAAGAATCTAAAAGAGAGAAAATGGAAGCCTGCCGAAAGTAAAAAGAACGAAACTAACCTCGGAGGACTGCAAGATCGCTGGAAGAATGACTCTCGAAGGATTTCACCGGAAAAGGCTTAGCACTGTTCTAGAAAGAGAGAGACTTGGCTGATGATGGAGACGGTAAAGGGAAGTGAAGTGGAATTCTAGAGCATTATAAAGGCGAGGGGGCCCGAGGGCCGAAGCGTCGGGAAGGCAAGAAATCCCTCGAGCCCCGGAACATTGATTCTGGATCTGACCGTCCGCTCCCCCACGTGGTTATCTCGAGCCGTCAGCGTCATGATGAGACGCCATCAATAATTACCCCTTATTAAATAAGGGGCAATTATGGGGGCAGTTGAGGAGGCCCCGGATGACATGGGCCAGGTCCGACTCGCAAAACACAACCTTCAGTCCGAACAGCTGGGTCAGCCCATAGAAAGACACTGCCATATGGGCCGAGCGGGAGTAAGCCCATCAAGGGTGACTAGGGCTTACAGAGGAATAGGCCCAGGTCCAGCAATCAGAAAATATCTTGCAAATATCTTGTAAATATCTGGTAAGTATCTATAAATAGGAGTTGGAATGAAGAGGAGAGGGATCTTTCCGGGTTGAGGTGTAAGAATTCTAGAGAGAGAAAGAATAGAAGGAGTTTCTTGCATCTTCACCATAGTTAAGAAACTCCATAGAAAGTTTTATGCTTAAGAAACCACGACTCAGAAAATGAACTTAAAAATGAGCCGGAAATTGCTTTGGGGCATCAATTGTTAGTACCATTATTACACTTATTTGGTTCATACACTTTTCTCCATAAAATAAAACTTTTCTGTATTTTTTGTACGAAAATTTTGTAGAAAATTTAGGTGATTATGAAAGTTAATTTCCCACAAATTTTTTTTTTTTTTTCTTAGTATCTAAACTCTTAAAAAGTTTTTAAAAAAATCATTTTTTTTCCCTATCTAACTAGTTTCACCTAACCCCTTGGATCAATCATATAATTTACACACAAATTTCATGAAACTAATTTGACAAAGCTTGATTATTTCATCATATCATATTAAATGAGGTTCAGATTAAATTATGAAAACCATAACATATATAGATTGACACCCCGATAAACTTCTCTATACTTGGCTATCATTTTTTTCAACGACTTGCTAGCCAGCCAAGATCTATGTTGTTCATCTGACATATGTGGTAGAGTGTTTCTCAATTTTATCATAATAATTTTTTTGAGGCAAATAAATTTCCAGTTAAGGTGAAACTATGAAGAGTTTGAGATGGAGTTATAAAGAGATCGTTGTTCGAGGTGGAATTATGGACGAGCACGTGAAAATATAGTCTGATCACGTGTTGATTACGTGAAGAATTGAGGTGCTCAAATTTGTTGATTTTGGTGCATATGTCTTTATCAATATCAATATGGCCTGTTATCAATATGGCCTTTGAGGTAATTTTCACGGGTGGAAAGGATTTGAACACTAGTAGGGGTGTTATTTACAACTTTTAAAGAATGGTTTTTGCTATGAGTTATTTTGCAAAAAGTTTAATTTGAAAGTAACAAAGTCGGGATATTTTACCCATTAATATTAACGGGTGAAATTTGTAGACAATTTATCGTGAGGAGAATAACTTGTTTCAAGATTCGCTTACCCTTTTGCATTCGCTTTTTCATTTGTGGTGGTAGTAGTGCTTTTGAGTAAAATAAAAATATGGCCATCAAGGAAACCATCATATTTGCGCCTTCAATAAAGCCAATTAATTAATAATATATAAAAAAAGAAAAAAGAAAAAAGAAAAAAGAAAACAAAAAAGATAAAACCTTTGCATAAGCATCCGTGTTTATGGTTGTTTACAATCCGACTTGTTCGCCTTAAATTAAAAGGTTATAATGTCAAAATTTTACACAGACTAACAATCAGTATGCAACAACCAACCTATGAATTCATTTAAGGTCCAACACTGGATCAAACATGCACCCGTAACTCCCACCCATTAACATTTCATTGTAAGCATACGTAACATCATTAGTTGTTTACACACAGTTTATGGGAAAAATTCACAAACAACCTTTAGCATATAGACAACTACTATCCAATGTTTCTAAGGCCACACCTATGAAGCTTACAGTCCCCTTCATCCAAATGGAAATGAATTCAACTTCACACTCCATGCAATCTCGAATCACCTGCAAATAAAATCAAAAAAACAAGTCTCTCATGCATACAATTAGATATATTCCATTGAATGGCACTCAAAGCTGGCCCAAAATATTTTGCAACAACAAAATATCATAATCTTTTTTCTTTTTCTTTCTCTTCTTTTATTAATTAAGTCCCGAATATACAATCAAATCCTGTCAGAACTTACCTACAATTTGCATAAAATTGGGAAAGTTAAACACAAGCAAAATACGCAGTGACCACTCAAGAGAATGCTGCTAACGGAACATGTAGCAACGATAGGGCCCTCTCTTCTGTTGTTGACCTTCATAAGTGAAAGGAAAGGCAATAAAAGATAAGTCGTTATCTATTACATAGCTCCTCAATTTCCCATTTAATTAACCTGTAACATCACCCAATTGGTTCAACAGTCTACTAATTTATTTTAGGTAATTCTTCTTTCATTTGTTTCTAAATATCAAATAGTTCAATCGACGATATGAAGAAATTATCAGCTTTCTTCCTTTTATTCAAAATACCAAGTACTTTCAAACTCATATGTTAATGGTCAAAAAAGTAAATACTATATGCCATGAATTTTGCACATGACTACATTCTATTTCTCTTTAAACATTAGCAAACAATAGGGTAACTACAAAATTTTGAGTAATTGAGTTACTTCTCAGAAGGGAAAAAAAAAAAATTAAAGGTGATTATTTGCAAAATAAACAACAGTGAGACTTGGGGGACGGCGCAATACTTCTCTATATCTTAAGGCTAATATTCCATTGTAACAATACTTTCATGGAAAACGAACTAAGATTTATGTTACACGGAAAAAGCTTTCATCTAATTAGACATGATATATCTTAATTCTTCTTCCGAATAAGGTTTTGAGTGTTTGAACCCTTTTACGTGTCTTTTCTTCTAAATATTCAACTATGAGATACTAAGTGCTTGGAACCTTGTTACGTTTTCAACACCTACATGGGACATATATCTCCAAGAATTCAAGAAGTATCAAAAGTTGACTTCAAAATTATATTACAAGCACCTACAAGTTCAAATTTTTTTTTTTTTTTTTTTGATAAGTAAGCCACCTACAAGTTCAATATCAAATATAACTACCTTATAGAAGTATTATTGCTAAGGATCTAAGAGAGAAACTAATGTCCTCATTCCTCCACCAACAAAACCTTAAGAACACTTACAATTTAGAATTGACGTATAATAAGCTGTTTACTAACGCTAACTTTTTATTTTAAAATTATACGGAGTATATAAATATTAACTGAACATGGAAAACAAAATAAGAGTTATCTTGCATGGACATAAGCTTTCGACGAAATTAGACATGAATGGAACCATTGTTATGCCTTTTCTAAATTGTGTACTATAATCAATAAGAGATCAAGGTTGTCAGAATCGGGATTATATGTAGGATCGTTGGAGGCTCCGTAGAATTGGATAGAGAATTGTAAGATTCTACCAAACTAGTAGAAAAATAATTCAAACTAACTTCTTAAACATAATATCTCTAAAAATTAGAGAGAATAAGCCCAAAACCCCCCCCAAAAAAAAAAAGTTGCATACATGTCGGGATAAATACGTACATATCATAGAGAATGTACTCACTCCGCAATTCAAAAGGTAGAGCTTGTATGACAACTATGCAACATCAATTCAATTTGAATTGTGAGATACAATACTAATTTGCAATAGATGCTAGGTAGTAGGTCCAAGTCTCCAAGAGGAATCGACCAAGGTTTGTTGAGGAGTAAATCCAAAATAATAATAATAACAAACAACTAACTTACATTATTTATATAAAATTTGGGTAATAGACACCCCTGTTTTTGTCTATCAAAAATATCCACATTGTATTAAAGGAATGAATGAACAATTATTCATTATATCAATGTTAAACATGAACTAATAGTAACTAGTCTAATACCAAGTAACACTTTATAAGGTCAAAACTAAATAAAATTAAAACCAAGAAGTCAAGAACCAAAAGTTCGAAACAGAACAAGAAGCCCAGAAAACTCATCCCCTATATCCACTGAAAAATAACAATCAACGATGAAAAAAAAAAACTGAATCTACGATTCTATCAACGATTCTACCTACGACTCTAAGATTATACATACGATACTACCACAGACACGATTTATGTGCGATTCAGATCGATTTGGGGTGCTATGATCATAGAATCGCACTACGATCTAGAATCGCGATTTTAACAAAATTGTAAGAGATAATATCACAAGAACTATTCAGGGAAAAAACAAATATCCCTACAATAGTTGATAGAATCTAAAATGTACTCATTTCACACACGACAAATCAATAAGGACGCATATAGCTCATAAATGAGGTACAATAAAAAAAGAACATGAACAAAACTGGGAAGTATACAAGAAAATGTGCTCCATACATATACATACACGCATAAAATCTCCATACTTTCCTCCTCTCCCCAAAACAACTAAGAACTGAAACTAATTTACATCGGATCTATTTATAAAGGGATTGCTATCAAACACAACAACAACCAATACGGAATTATGATAAAAGTTAGTAAATCAAAGTGGGAAGATCTTTTTTGGGGGTAATTAAATCTCGTTACAAGTGGAACAATAATCTTAGAACTGCTATCTAACTAATAAATTTAATTTGAACTAATTAAGTACGTTCGAGATAACATTACTTGACTTCTGGTTTGGGCTTGTTCTTGAAAGTATGGGTGTCAGCCTTGAGGAATCAACTACAAAATGCACAAAATTAAATTAGCATATGTATGTGTGCGTGTGTGTGAGTGTATAGAGAGAGAAAGAGGGAGTGTTAGAAGAATATAACGTTAGAGATGAGACACCCACCTTATGCAGTTCCAATTCCATTCGACGTTTAGGCGCATTTTTCATTCCCGGTATTTTATGAATCAGTTTCGGCGGGCCATACACAAAATGGACAACAGAAGAAGAAGCCATACTCTGAGAATAACATAATTGTAAAACAGTATAAACACTAAGCCTAACTCTAATTTGTCCGCTACCAAACAAATTTTCCAATATCAAAGTAAGTGTAATGTGAAACCAAAAAAATTACATACATAGGCAAGGTGGGTTGGACCATGAAATTGCTACAAAATGCACAAAATCAATTAGCCCCAATTATATATACACACACACACGAGTGTAACAGTATAACTGAATTACTGAATATGAGAGGCCAATTACCCGCTTTTCCTCAATTGTGGTGGTGACTGGCCAAAGTCGATCCAAATCAATGGGTGGGCGGAAGTCTGGAATACCAAACTCCTATAAATTGCAACAAGTTAATTAGCCACATATCATATACATATACATATACGTATACATATAGAGAGAGAGTGAGGGAGAGAGAGAGTATGTTAGAATATAACGAAGGCGTTAGAGAAGATACCTCTTCTCCGCTTTCTTGAACAATTTGACGGTACACGCCTGACCGATCAACGCTCAATAAGTCAAAGAATTTCCTTCTCTTTTCTGCTGGTTCAAAACAGACATGGAAGGCAGTAGCCATGGTCCGATTATAAGATGAGAATGAGATTGGTATTTTTGATGGATCCTCTATATAGATCCTTCTAATGGGCTCTTTTGCGTGGGCCGTGCAGCCTATCTTACTTAAATTGGTTAATCGCACTCAACCCACTTTACTACTAGAATTTTGATGTTTGTAATGTGAGGAATTGTTAACGGAGTGGGATAATATTTTTTTAAATGGGTTAATATTAGTAATAATAAATTATTTATTTATTTTTGTCTATTGGGTATGGTAAAAAAAATTTGTTTTTTTGGGTAGGCTTGAGCCCATTACTCTCTTCAGAGACCACCATTGTTGCCCAAGCTTTAACCGTCATTCCACTTGCCTTCCATTAATTTTCATACCTAGCCGTAGAAGCGAGAAAGCACGAGGACACCAAGGGATACAAAACCATCGGTTTTGTTTCGGTTTTGGAGCATTTCTTCACTCTGGATTCTAGAGTTAGCTTTTCCTAGTGAGGTAGGGGGTTTACCATAGCTTTAACATAGAGCTTTGTTTATATTTTGGAGTGTGGTGTGTGTTATGTATGTATAAGTGAGTTGTGAGTATTTACTATGCATGATTGTTAATACTTAGCTCTTAAATGATGATATTGTGCATGACGTTGTTTAGAGCTCTACGTTTCTGATACTCATATGATATGTATACACATGATAATATTGGAGGAGATCATAATATATTTGCATATGTATTCATGTGTTTACTTTATGTTAACGTGTCTAAACTTACACGATTGTTATGCCTATATTGTTGGTAATGTAAACTCTATTTTTAGGGCATGGATATACCATCATTTGGTCACTTGTTATAATATAAATTGATGAAATACTTCACTTATGATATGATGTACGTGTTAACCATGATCTTAAACAATCACATTTGATATCATTTCTATCGAAATTCATACCATGACTAAACATTGAAGACTATAGGACATGAATTGCTCGACTATTGAGACTTATGTGCACTTGTGAAGTGTTTCACTTGATATTAAATGTATATGATACATTATGGGATTGGTTGATGATTAATTTTTGGAAGATACTTGGGACCATTTTGATACTTTCAGAATGCAAGGGTTTGGCGCTCGCGGGTGAACTTGGGCTCCCCAATTTATAGTAACCACTTAGTTTGTTTTCTGCGAGTTAGTAACCCGAAAATAATTATTTTTCCAATGTATGTAATACATATGATTGGGGGTGTGCGTGTGTCCAAATTATTCCTATTATATGATTCTCGGATCTTATTTTCAAATTAACATTCATATGTAGTTGTAACCTAGTGCATTTCGATTTCATTGCATTTTCTTATATTGGTACATACTTGAATGAAATAGGACGAGTTGGGGACATGGCGCCTATCCGTCACCTCCCCCGCTAGGTATCCTAATTCAAATTAGCAAAAGGAAGATTCGACATCTTACATGGTGAGGGTGTCATTGAGGTTGCTTGGTCCCTCCTCGCTTTGGCAGCTTTAGTAAGAAGCATGCCATGGTGAATCAATTGGACGGTAGAATGGAAGCAAATGTAGGGTTTGAGGCTTCATTCACAGAGGATGATATCGCTCGTTCTACAAAATGAGGCCAGTGAAACTTTCAATGAATCAGGCCCTTTGATTTGTTGTGGCTGCAAATCGAACATTTCAAAAAATGTTACGATAAAACACCCCTCATAATAGTTGCCATCATCTCTTTGTACTAGTGAAAAAAGTTGACTTTACTCCAACCATCCCTCCTCTTATCTTAGTTAACCCTTAGCTTAGTAAAAATAAAAACTGAAAATTCCCTTATGTGCAACTAAATTACAAGAATAACCACGCAAATAAATTCACCATTCAAAACATAAGATAAATATAAATCAATTAAATATGAATATAACATTATTAATTTTCCTTCTAAAGTACAATTTGTCCCTTGTACATTAAAAATTTATATGAGAAAAACTGCTCCTAACTAATATTAAACATCAAGGGGTGATTTGCAACATTTCTGTAAAGAAAATTATGTAAAATAAAGGAGGGTTTATGATGATACGCCTTGTTCACGTTCAATTAAAAGGTTATAATGCCAATCACCCTCAGTTGTTCACAAAAGAGGAATTTGATGTATTACTGTTTTGTTTTAGTAACAGAAGCCAAAAAGGCCTTTATACTTTCAGACTACTTGTATCTCCAAAGATTCAAGGCACAAAAGCACAAAATTTTATAGATGAACTACTGGAATCCATTTAAGGTCCAACACTGGATCAATCATATTCTCCACTTTGTTACTTAAAAAACTTATATGACAACATTTCATTGTAGACATACTAAACATCATTAGTTGTTTACACACTGTTTTACGAAATTCACAAACAACGTTTAGCATATAGCCAACAACTATCCAATGTTCTAAAGGCACGATTATGAGGCTTACAGTCCCCTTCATCCAAATGGAAATGAATTCAACCTCACACGTACTCCTTCATTTAATCTCGAATCATCTGCAAACAACACCCAATAAAAGTTTTTTAAAAAAGTCTGCAGTGCCATGCAAACAAATTGAAATATTCCAATGAATGGCGCTCAAAGCTGGCCATAGTTTAGTTGTTCACAAATTGGTTGCATTAAGTTTTCTAATCATTCAATTCTATCCATAATCGAAGTTCTTTGACAACTTGAACCTGTATGTATGTAGTTTACACCACACCCAGCATCCTCACTTCCCTTCCCCCCCATCCTTTGCTCCTACAAGCTCGAATCTATTCCCTCTTAGATGTGGTTATTGGTTTACCTACATATATATATTTTGATAAGTTATTGGTTTACATATTATGCTGTATATGATACAATAATATCACTTATTTCCTCGCTAAATTAGCAACGGATTGTACCCTATTCTTCATTAAGCAACTAGGATAATAAAACTATCCCCAGCAATAAGTTGGTTTTTTATATTGTCGGTAAATTTTCTCCATAGCAAACACACAACCGTCGTCTTCAGCACTTGTTTCCAAGGCGTTTCAGCTTCACTTTTCAAGGTTTCAAGCAAAAGCAAAAGAAGTGCAAAGGAATTAAATGAGCACAATATAATTCTATTATGGGCCCAAAATAAATTACACACGTTTTACAAAAACAAAATATCACATTCATTTTTTTATTTTTTCCCGTTTAAACACAAGCAAAATACACAGTGACCACTCAAAATAATGCTACTGATGGATCATGTAGGAACAATAGGGCCTATTCCTTTTTCCTTTTTTTCCCCCTTTTGTTGACCTTCATAAGTAAAACTAAAGGCAATAAAAGATAGGACATTGTCTACATACCTCAATTTCCCATTTAATATAACCCGTAACATCGCACAATTGTTTCAACAGTCTACTCATTTATTTTATTTGGTAATACTTCTTTCATTTGTTTGTAAATATCAAATAGTTCTTTTGACGATATGAAGCAATTATCAGCTTTCTTCCGTTTATTCAAAATACCAAGTACTTTCAAACTGATACATACTTTTTTAACGAAATGATATTTAAGAACATATCACACTGATTTTTCATTACACTTGACAGTGGAGTGGGAGGCTTTAGATGCTGTGGGTACTTCAGGGGGTGCCCGTGTGATGTGGGGTAGGAGATGGGTGTCTAAGGAGGATGTGTGAAAGGGTAGGTTTTCTATCTCCTGTGCCTTTGCCATCGAGGAGGATGGATTCGAGTAGGTTTTCTCTAGTGTGTATGGTCCGGTGGAGGACGGATATAGGCATTTGTTATTGGAGGACCTTGGTGCACTGCAAGGGGGACTGCCCTTTTCGTGTGTATTGGTGGGGATATTAATGTGGTTAGATCCCCGTTAGAGAGATCTACTGGAGGGAGGTGGACAACGACCATGGAGCAATTCTTGGAGTTTATTGAGGCCTATCAGCTTGTTGATTTGCCTTTGGAAGAAGCGTCTTCTACCTAGACTAGCGGCAGGGAGGCTCCTACTTTATCTTGGCTTGATAGATTTCTTCTCTCCGGTGATTGGGAGGAGAAACTCATGTATAAAATAGACTTCTCATTTAAAAGCACCTTACTATTAGAACCAAAACCAAATGAGAAAAGCTAAACAGCCACTGATCACCACCATTTCCCCCTTCTTCTTAACACCCAAAACAGAATCCGCACCTTTTCCGATCTCCTCTTCCACAACCATGTTCTACCTCGCATCGTCTTCTATTTTGTGATGATCATGATTCCACCTGTCGAGATAGCATATCCAACAAGCCATCATTAGTCCAAAAACCTCTATATCCCTCCGCAAATGTTACGCCTATATATATTACAACTAAGGTGACCACCACCACCACCGATGTTACCTTTCAAGCCCCCGTCATTGCTAGCATAAAACCTAACCCATTTGTTAAGCTCCAACTTAAGTCGGTGTTTATAGAGGACTTGATGAAAAAATCACAAAATCGCAATGTTTCTTAAGTTTATGGATCATTTACGACATAGTTGCCATTGATTATTGTCTTGTACCTCACTCCTTTCTCGAACCACCCTGCCTCTCATGTGCTCACTAGCTCATACACAGCTAGTAGTCTTGATCAATCAACCCGGCTCATATTTTTGGAAACACCCCTCTAGGTCGAAATCACCGGTTATACTCAAACATATAAGAACCTTGGCTTGGTTCCACAGAACTTCCAATTGGTATCAGAGCAAGTTACTCAACATAGAGAGTTGATCTTTAAGAAGAATTATGGTTATTAAAAAATTAGATTCGATTTTATTTACACTGATGATTATGCTTTTTTTTTTTATAATTTGTGCATGATAATAATTCCAATTTATCTGATAGTTTTGATATTGATTGTGAAGGGATATAAATTTGCTTAAAGATGACCATTTTATTTTTGATGCCTCTGTTAGGGTTTTTCATGTAAAAATTATTGTCTCTGCTTTTACTTTATTTATAGCTCTATGTGTTGGTGTGATGATAATTGTTATGTGATTAACTAATTAACTCATTTTGAAATAAGGATCAACAATAAC